GTGTGTATATATATATGCACTGGCATCTCTCTGTCCTGACTGTGCTCCCTCTCTCCCCTAGCCTAGATCTACCCTGAACGCAACTGTGATGCACTTCCCAAAGCTTGGCGGCTATGGCCGCCTTCTTCCTCCCCCTCTCTCTTAGCTATGGATGCTTCCTCCGTTGCGGGAAGCTTGCTCGTCCCTGAGCGCCACCCTCTGTCCAAGCCGCGCTATTGCAGAACCAACCTCCAGCACTTCCACAATTTTGCAAATGAACAACTGCCTTGCCTTGGCACTGTAGCAGCTATAATAGCAGCTGTTGACTTGTTCTGCCTGCTACGGACCGGTACGGGTCGCCCGCAGCCTCTGCTGCATGTTTTGTCATTCCGGAAGTCTCCGAACTTTCTTGGGACGCTTCTGCAAAATTGGACCTTGGGACTCGACTTCCTCTGTCGGTACCTACAGACAATTACTGACCTGCGAAGCTTCAGTTCCCGACTCTACCAGACTGCGACGTTTCGGCCTACAGGCCCCTATGGGACTCTACGGACCCTAGGACTCGACCTACTGGGACCTAGTGGCACTGGGGCCAATTGGACTTTGGGATTGGGACTCAGGACTGATACAGCGTGAAATCCTTTCCCTCCCACTGGCCTAATTTCCAGGTCCTCCGAGAAAGATTTTATCTTTACCTGTCTATAATGTTAATAGTACTTATACCCCTCCTAGCACGTTCGTAGTATGAGACTCTGTTAGGTGCAGTTTCAAACAATTCATCTTTAGCGTACCAACGATCGTCTTCTGGATCCTGCCTGATAAGCAAACTTGACTTTGTACTGTCGCTGGGGCCTACCCCTTCAACCTGATCTGTAGACATCCTCTTCAAGGACTCGGTTGATGTATATCTACCATCCATGTCAGGTGGAATCGAAACGGTCGTTTATTACTCAGGGCCGTAACTTCGATGTGTGGAATACCAGGCATGTGTGCAGATGAAGTGGTATGTCGACAGTGTAAGAAGGACCGTCTGCGCCTCCAATGACGTCTAGAATTTCCCATTGTCTTCTGTATGTATCTAACAGTTTCTGAAAAATGCCTTCTTCCGGAAGGAACTCCTTGATTTGACCCAGACAAGGTCACGAACAACGAACTTTGAAGGCCTACGGTGCTTATTGGCGCTGTCTACCATCTTATGCTAGGCCTTCCAGATGTTGTCAACTACCCGCTGCAGTTCTCCTTCGCAATGGACTGCAAATTCTGTCGTGCCAGGTGACAGTCTCTGATCTGGTCAGGATTCAGCCGGCCTATGGGACAGTGTGCACGCCACCCCTTGTGCAACTCGTTAGGAGTGCGATTCGTGGCTAGATGCACGGAGTTGTCATAGGCACTAGCTACCTTAGGTAGATGCTCGTCCGAATCTACCTGATCCGGTCTAATGTATGTGGGAAGCACTTGCTGTAGCAGTTTGTTCATCTGCTCAGTCTGTCCATTAGTCTCAGGATGTCTGCTTGACGACATAGTGAGCTTTGATCCGTAGACTTTCATCAGTTGTTGTTGCCAGTGTTTTGCCAAAACAGCCATCTCCAAGGCTCCAACAAACACCAAGACACACACAAACCTTGACCGACAACAAAACAAGGCAAAAAACAAAATACAAAAAAATCCTTCAAAAAATAGCCCCAAATCTGCTTTTGAGTTCTTCGGGGATTATTCTATGGGCTGAAACAACTTGTGAGGAGAAGAAGAAGAAGAAGAAGAAGAAGAAGAAGAAGAAGAAGAAGAAGAAGAAGAAGGAGGAGGAGGAGGAACGAGGAAGGAGAAAGAAGAAGCAACAAAGAAGAAGAAGAAAGAAGAAAGCAGAAAGGAGGAAGAGGAGCACGAAGGAGGAGGAGGAGGACGAAGAAGAAGAAGAAGACTAAGAAGAAGAAGAAGAAGAAGAAGAAGAAGAAGAAGAAGAAGAAGAAGAAGAAAGATTATTTTGTTATGCAATATTTTTTCTATGCAGAAAATCAATTTGAATTTGATACGGCTTCAGCTTTTAATAGGCTTTGTTTGTCAAAAAGAGAGTTGTTTTCTTTTGCGATTGTTCGCCAATTTCTTTGACTATGATATTCAAAAATTTTGGTTATATTTTTAAGATTGAGAACATTCTCAATTTAAAGGCTCCCACGGGCCAGCTTTCTTGGGTTTGTTATCAGCTCCTCCACCAGGCTCTCCCACGTCGCGGCCTTCGAATATTGACGGATATACAGTGGGAAAAGTCGACCTGTACACGTTTAACGAGCAGGTCATGTCACTTTACTCGTTGATAAGCGGAAAGTGATTCACCGCCTGGCAGCTCCAGGTTTTTGATATCATATCACGTATCCCTTACAGGATTTTAACCCGCGTCTTCGCCATGAAAAAGCGATCATGTCCTATACCCCTAGACGATAGGGACGAAATGAATGAGCTTGTAACTCAGTTGGATAGAGCATTAAACTATGGATTTGGGGGTTGAGAGTTCAAGTATTTCCAAGCATGGGCCTATAACTCAAGTCAGTAGTCTTGCCAAACTGATGGAGAGCCGTGTGCTTGGAATTCTAGCACGAGCCTCAAGTTATATCCCCTTTAGTGGCCACCATTGCATTGCACGGAATGGAGAATGCTTTGAATGAGTGGGCTCAGCAGGCGGCCAAAGGCCTACCGTCTTCACCCCAATAAAACGCGGCCCCGGTTATTATAGCCGTATCTGGACTGAAAAGTGCACCAAATACGGCTATAATGACTGGGCATTCTATTCGGGTGAAGACGGTAGTTATCCTAGTAAGATACGTCGACGATTTCGTTGTTCTTCACAAGGTTCAAAGAGTTGTTCAGGGCGCTCAAGGGTTCCTGTGACAATGACTCCAACCCATGGGCCTGGAACTCGCTGTGCCTTAGTTTAGGTTTAGGAATGATTTTGTAAACTTAGTCTGACTTTTTATCACTTTTATTTGTTTGTTTTTTACTTCATTTGTTATTTTCATTGGTTAATCTTCAGTTTGAGCGCCATGTTGATTCCTCGGAACTCAAGGTTCAACCATTCAGATACGTCGCGCGATAGGAAGGTCCTATCGATCCATGGTCCTGATTGGCGAGCGGGAGTTATCGGGGGATCGACCGGGCGTCGTACGCCAGACTCAGAGGGTGAGAAGAGAAAAGGCGCGAAAGGTGGCGCAAGACGGATCCAAGATTCAGACGATAAAAAAAGGGAAATGGGCGCGCAAACAGCAAGACGGGGGAGGGGGGGGAGAGAGAAAGAAATAGTTACAGAGAGAGAGAAAGAGGAGCAGGGCGCTCAAGGGTTCCTGTGACAATGACTCCAACCCATGGGCCTGGAACTCCATCCTGATAACACTCGCATAGTCACTACGGGAGAAGGATTCCATTTCTTGCGACAGTTTCCCGTCTAAAAAGCAGAACACTCCCGGACGGGCCAACACTGTGTGCCTTCTGGATGTTTCCGCCGGGCCAGATAGCGTGATGCACGTGTTGCGTGTCCCGCCGTGATCACCAAATGAAATGAAAATAGGCCGCGAACCTTCGGTATCAGTCAATGCTGGGCCCGTCCATTTACATTTCATTGCACTTGGAATCATCCATTTCATCCGGCATGGTTCTAGAGTTTACTGTTGTCGTTAACTGGGGCTTCCATTTGAAGCTTATGTCACTTCTCCTTTTCACTTTCGAGCACCGAGAAGGTGTCAGACTCTATACATCGTGCTACCACTTGGCAGAGTCCCGTGTCCTTAATAGACAGTTGCTACCCACTGTTATGTGCCCCTTTTGTCTGTTTTTGCAAAAGGAGTCAATTTGCCGAGTTCCGCCAACATGGTTATCTCAAGCGCCTTAGTATGTGTTCTTGAACATTCTTTTTAAGTATTGTTACTTGTTGTTTATTAAGTCGTCTAGGCACTTTTTTTGCTCGTTCGGGATTACTTGCATCTGTTCATAGCTTTGCCAAAGATTCGCGACGAGGCAGAAGAAGGAGGTAGTGGTAGTAGTTTCATCCCAGCATTGCTCAGGTTAATGAATTATGTTGGATGCTTATTTTGTAAAAAAGAAATACAGATGAACACGTAAGAGCATATCACGACCAATGAGCGGGGACAAATCTGCAATAATTGTAAATTTAAGGGAGTGTTCAGTGAATGTTCACAGGCCATTTAGTGAATACTTGGTGTTGAATGCAAGTTTTGTGAGAGTGAGCAATGAAAAGTATAGCTTTGATGTCTATATGTGTGTGTTTGTGTCATGTGGCTAACACTTCTATGCTTGTGTTTCGTTCTCTCTTCCCCTTTCTTTCGTCCCACATCCATCCTTCTCTTTCGCCCTTCCTTTTCCGTCTGTTCATCTCTTGCTTTCTCCATTTTGTTCTTACTTCCCTCCTAAGCTCCTTCCGTCATTCCTGTATTCTTTTGCTCTTTCCTCCTCTTTTTCCTTTGCCTCCCTCCCTCTCCCCCTTCCTCTCTTCCTCCCTCGCTTCCTTCCTCCCTCCCTCCCTTCATCCTTTCCTCCATTCTTTCTTTCTTCCCTGCTCTGCCTCTCTTCTTCCTTCCCTCCCGAGTGCACTCCCTACCTGCCACCCTCCTCACCCCCTCTCTCCCTTTTCCCTCTCCCCCTGTCTCTTATACACATCTAGATGTGTATAAGAGACAGCCTCTCCCCTCTCCCCTCTCCCCTCTCCCCTCTCCCCTCTCCCCCCCTCTTCCTCGTCTCCATTTATCTCTCAATCCATGTGCCCTGCTTCCTCTCTTCTTTCTGCCCTTCTTGCCTTGCTTCCCCGTATATCTCCACCTACCCATTCTTCCCTCATTGGTGTGTTCAAATGTATCCACCGGCGAAATGAATGATGATGATGGAGCAGACTCACAGGCAACGATGACACTAGCATCCAACTTCTCAACAGGAGGGCCTTCTGCCAACTGGCATGTCATCCAGTCATCTTCTGGGAGAAGTGGCTCCACACATTTCCTTCTCACACTCGTTTGGGCCCCTGTTGGGCCCAACGAACCCAGCGGCTTGAAGAGCTCCATGAGTAGCAGAAAGAAGACAGATAAAGGGCAGATGGAAGGAGCAGAGAGGAAGGAGATCCGCTGCAACGATGGGGCTCTTGCGGGGAAACAGTGTGGTGCACCTGAGGATCATGTGATCAGGGGCAAGCCGTCATCATCAAGTCATGATAGGTACGGTCTCTCATCGACCTCTAGGCCGGTGATTAAGCTCAGGGTGGACCATGAACATTACACGAAGGAAATTTTCAACATACTTCAAGAAGTCCCCTCCTGGTGCACTGCATTCGCTCGTGGCAACAGCCCTTCAAATGTCATTTTCCTCTCCAGTTTGAACCTTGATTAGCATCGGACGTTTTCTCCGTACAGCCTTGATCATGGCGATTCCATGTGTCAGCTAGAATCTTCAAAGTTTTCATAAAGCTGGCTGGTGGCACACAGCAACCTCTGCTCCTGTACCCTCAGAAGGCATGAGGACAGACATAAACTCAGTGGCTAGCAACACCTTGAGCGAGTATGTTGAGTATCTAGTGAGTATAACTCTGTGTGTGTGTGTGTGTGTGTGTGTGTGTGTGTGTGTGTGTGTGTGTGTGTGTGTGTGTGAGAGAGAGAGAGAGAGAGAGAGAGAGAGAGAGAGAGAGTCTGAAATGTGAAGAAGACTTGTGAGGACGGAACAGATAGCACAGAAGCAAGGCCATTGCTGCCATCAGAAGGAGAGCTCTCTGGCACCCAACAGTTGTGTATGCGCTGCACAGTGTTATCGGCAATGCCGTGTAGAACGAAAGCATGGACCATCGAACAGCTTTTCGATGAAGTCAAGTCCTCGTCACAATGCTCATCGTGTTGTTTCGTACGATTGTTAACTCTGGTCATTTAGGGGGTTGTTGTTGGCATTGTTGCTTGACGAGCTTCAACCAACAAACAGCTATAATTGCATTTGAGCATTCTACTAGGACTGGCTAGGAAGAATGCAATGGATTTACTGAAACGTATCGGGGCTTCTCTCAGCAAGTAGTACAGACAATGGTATGAGCGACTGGAATCCAGCAAAGTCAGTGACGTCTGGGTAACAGTAAGTTAACTCGAGTTACGACCACCATCATTAGATTTCAACAACTAGAATCATCCAGGAAGAACTCAAAATTTTAACCATCTTTGGTTTGAACTTTGAGCTTTGAGCTTTGAAGTTGAAACTACCGTCTTCACCCGAGTAGAATGCCCGGTCATTATGGCCGCATCTGGACTGAAAGTTGGGCCAAATGCAGCTATAATGACCGGGTGTTCTATTCGGGTGAAGACCGTAGCTTCCCCTTATGTAGTTCTTACTCCTTAGTACGTCTTACCGCTACCCGGTTAAGACCATGGTTTAGACTCTAGAGTTACCGCAAGAAATTCAGCCAGTAAAGTACGTCTTACCGCACTTTGATAGC